TTTAAAATCTTATCAAAGGCCAAAGACAGTGTTGAAATTAAGGCTCTGGCTTGTGTACTTTGACATAATAAGAGGAAATACCAAAACAAGTTTTAAATAAATGTCAGTGACACCATTACATCATACTGACTAATAAAGAGCGTATTTCGTATTGTGTAATATTAGAAATTGTTGCATATTTTTGTGTAATTATACTTTTCGTGGCAAGTTGGTTTTTTCTAACCTGAAATGTTGTCACTGTTATTGTGTTAATAAATATAGCTAATTTTTACGTACCAAGGATTATCAGAAGAAATTTAAATCACCTGGTTTCTTGTTTGGACTGTGTACTATTTGTATTTTATACCTTTGAAATAAAGCTAAATAATAGAAAGTGCCAGAATGCTGGTTTTTCAAGTCAGTCAGCATCATTCTGGTCCCAACTTTCAAGAATTTTTTTTTTAAGGGCAAATATTAATTGCCTGTATGTCCACACAGAAATTAGATAGAATAATATAATTATTGTCTGTTCATTCACCAGTCCATCTAACATTAACGGAGCCCATGGTCTGTGCAAGGTACTGAGTGAGTAGAGATGAATTAGATGCAATCCCTGCCTCTAAACATTTTCAACCTGGGAGTTCATAATAAGATATTGTCTGTTAAACAATTGACCTTACACTTTTGAAGGTTAATTTTGGGGCAGGCATGTTTAAATCCCTTTAAAATCAAATATATCTATTTATTCATCCATTATTCAACACTTTATTCAGCATTTATTCAAAACTGATCTTGGCAGCTTTTCAGAAGTTGTATACTTTTCACATCGGTGAGCTCCCCTTTGAACAGCTGATCTAAATGATTAAGTCACAGGCTTTATCTAACCATGTTGAGGTGGTCATTTTCCCACCAAGTTTCATCGTAAAAATGAAATTCTGAGTTAATTCAAGTTTAAAAATTCCTGTGCTCATGTATTAAACTTTATTTACTCTTACGAAAATATGGGTGTTGGAGTAGATTACCACAAGACCATCTCTGGTCCTCCAAATTCATAAATGTGTGTGTGTGTGTGTTTGCTCAGTTGTACCCGACTCCTTGCGATCCAGCCCACCAGGCTTCTCTGTCGATGGGATTTTCCAGGCAAGAATACTGGAGTGATCATACTCTTTTTTTTTTTTTTTCCCTCAGTTTCCTGTCTTGTCCCTTTTGGCATGTCCCCAAAGGCAGTAAGAATAGAAACTTTTTCCACTTTTCTGGTGAAACAGAAAAGCTCCCATTCAGGGGTACAGCTGGTGAGGTCTGAGGGTGCTTCATCCAGAATGACTAAAAGGCCAGAAGCAAGACTTAGCCACACAGGCAGCCAAGGTACCACCTTCGCTTACACCAGCATCAATCTGGAGAGTGAGTCCCACATAGACAGCACTTGATTTTTTCATGCCTATGTATGTTTCGGTGTGGGTTTGTATGGGTCTGTGTATGTCTTTATACATATATTGAACAGTTGCACAGAAAAACAATGCCTGTCATGCACAAAATTTTAAACTTCAGAAGATACAAAAAATGATACAGTGAAAATTTCGCTTCTCTGCTCCCTTGGTGCCCCAGAGAGAACAAGAATTACAGTCTCTTTTGTGTCTTTCCAGAGATGCTATTCCCCGGCACCACTGCCAGGCTCTTCTTTTTCCTTCCAAAGCCAGTGGCTTTATTTCGGTCAGTTGTGTATGAACTGAGAGAGTAGCGCTGACATGCACACACCACCATGTGTGAAATAGAGAGCTAGCGGGAAGCTGCTCTGTAGCCCAGGGAGCTCGGCTGGGTGCTGGGTGGTGGCCGAGAGCAGTGGGACGAGGGGCAGCGAGGCTTACCAGGGGCGGGATACGTGTATACACAGAGCTGGTTCGCACTGCTCGACGGCAGAAGCTGACACGATATTGTGAAGCAGGTGTATTCTGATAACATACGAAGGATTCACATATGGAAAGCACGTGACAGTGGTAGGTATAGCCTGTTTCCACGTTTGTAAACTCTAGTAACGCTTGAGAAAAAGAACACAGCGAGGCGATGCCCCAGGGCACCTGCAGTGCTGACCAGGGTGGGGTGAAGTTGGGGCAGAGTTGAGGAGCCAACACAGTGTGAAGTGAACTTTGAAAAATAAGCTCATGTAATGGTTTTGTGATAAAAATTCAGTTTTAAGGTAGAGCACGTTTTCAAGAGGTCTGCTGAGCATGTAAACATGTATGCGCGCCAGGAGCTGGCATTTCTCTTAGCCTTCAGATGTGAACAGTTACCCCTGGGAGGCTTCAGTGAGTTGTCATCTATCCTTCCTTGGAAATAAGGATATTAAGTTGAACCAGATATACATTTTAAGAGGAGAGTAGTTTTCTAAGGCTGCAAATAAGTCAGGTTACAAATAAGTCAGCCAAGAAACAGGGGATGTTTTTGGGGGTAGGGAGTGGGAGTGGCAAAGTTACTAAATTATGTGCATTTTATTTCTAGTTGTAAATTCCTCTAGTGAAGACATGTTACTTTCTTTCACACTATAAGTTTGAGAATTGTCTTGGCTTAACTGACAAAGCACAGAAGAATAACCATTGGCAATTTGTAACTAGTGAGGTTAATTTTATATCTAAATTAGTTGAGTCTCCTCATTTCTAATCTAAAGAATCACACAAAGTAGGTACAATGACTAAGAATGTACTCAGCATGTAGCATTTCTCAAGAACTACAAAGTATCTGTGGTCAGTGTTAAAACTTAGGACTGATTTCAAAGAGTGGTTCCATTTCTCTGAATGTATCTTCGGGTGAAAATCCGCTCTGTACTGGGATGTTTGGCCCGGTAAATTTTATTTCTAACATTATTCATTAATATTAGAAATATGAAGGGAACCTCAGTGTCCAAAATGGAGGAATGTTAGATTGATTTTAGCAGGTAACTTGACCTGAGATGGTATATGACAGGCTGTTATGCATCAATATATAAGGCTTTTAAGGATTAATTGGTTGATAACAAGACACATTGTTTACAAAATTACCTTAAGTTTGAAAGAATAATACAAACCTCCATGCCTTATTTTATCAAAAATATATTTGTGTGTATTCGGGGGTAATTTTTTTTTTCTTTTCAAGGTTTGTACAACAAATATACACTACTTCTTTTAGGATTATGAAAATACTTTAGTCTTCACAAAATTGGTAAAGAAAAGAGTTTTTGTGGTTGGGCTGCTTTTTTTCTTTTTTCCTTTGTAAGATATTGGTTTGGAACAGCTTTCTTTTCAAATGATTTCCTTCCCTCAGATATTCTGAGGATCTTGTTACTTAGAAGGATTCTTGGATTTTAAATATTGCCAGTGATTTTTTAAAAATTGTTTTGTGCCATCTTTTATTTATGTATTTTTTTAGTTCAGAAGATGAACATGGATAGGTAGTCATGCTTTGCTTCATTCCAGTGGAATTTCACCCTTTTACCTGCTTGGAGAATGTCACTTTGTTACTGGTCTTTAGAAATCTCACTGTAACTGCGTTAGTTCACCTGTGTTACTCTCTTTTCTTCCATGAGAGCACCTTTCAATGCTTTCCTAAGTTAGTCTTTTGCTTTTTTTGTTTGTTTGTTTTGTTTCTCAGATTCGTTTTCTATTGTCAGGCAAAATAGTTTATTATTGTTTTTAAATTATGTTAGATTTCCAAGTGAATCATTTAAGAGCCACAAAGAGACCTGTGGATCTTTGTTAAGGTGGGTGCTTAGTATTAATGACCTTAGTTTAAATGTTTATAATATGCTCGCTGTGGATTAATTACGTTGTAAGTCAGGGACAAGTGGCATGTGTGTATGTCTGTTCTGTGAATGTGGATCGATAAAATATATGAATACACGTCCTGGCAGTTGTATAAAATACAAGCCCCTCTTGCATGTGTGTGTGTGTGTGTGTGTGTGTAATTATAATGCAGTGTGCTTGAAGTTCAGAATCTGGCAGAAGCAGTGGAGTAAGTTGCAAAATAGCCCTTTCCTTGAAAGAATGTGCTTTAGTACAAAACGGAACTCTTAATGTTAGTTTTACATTTCTATTTGATGGAGTCTAAAGTTATGGAAACGACTGTAAAACTAATTTGTCTGAAAGACGTCTGGATGCAGAAATCTAACGGAGAAAATATTTGAGAATATGGTTCATCAGCAAGTACAACAGATACACTTTTCTAAGCACCACGTGGCATGGATCAAAGCATCCTATGACCTGCATCCGTGTGGCCAAATCATTAGCTATTGATTGGAGCCCCAGTGGAGGAGTAACCCCTTCGTGTCCATGCCAAGTTTTCTTTCAGTCTTGGTGTCAGTCATTGTAGGGAAAGAATCTTCCTGCTCCTGTTAGCTTTGTTGTTGTTTTTGTTGTTAAATTAATTATCTACTTGGATAAATTTGTCTTTCTCAATTATTTCATTCTACATTATTTTATTGCACTCTGCTTGGTAAAATTAACTTGTGAAAAGGCTATACAGTTTGGGGGATGCTCTTTGTGGTGGATGGGAGAGAAAAATTTTATAATATTCTGGGGAGAATCTCAAAATCAAGTACAGTTTATAATTTCCACTATGTAGACTAAATGGTAAGTTCTAGCCTTTTTAAAAATTTATGTATTTTTTAATTGAAGGATAATAGCTTTGCAGAATTTTGTTGTTTTCTGCCAAACATCAACAAGAGTCAGCCATAGGTATAAAGTTCTGGCTTTTCAACAAATCCTTTGCAGTCTGAGTAGAGAGGTCTGCCTCTTAACAAAAGCCTGTCGAGCACTTTTCAAATGTGATGGTAACATCTCTAATATTGGACTGTTCACATCTTGAAATTTAGCTCTTGCTTTGTAAGTAAAGTGTGCTGCAAAAGTAATTCATAAATTCCACGAGAAGAGGAAAGCATGAGTTGGTTTGTGTTCACATTCTGGCGGCATGGGCTGGCTCCTCTTGCCTTTTTAACGTCTGGGGCTGGTTCTGGGCAGCCGATTCACTCTCTTGTCCTCTGTATTTTCTTCCAGTTTGTCCCATGAGGAGCATCCCCATAGCCATCCTCTCTATGGACACGGTGTATGCAAGTGGCCTGGCTGTGAAGCAGTGTGTGAAGATTTCCAGTCATTTCTAAAGTAAGAATGATTTGATAACACTTTCTTCTTAGACGTAGCCGTCACCTCCCACTGTTCATGCTTTTTCCTCATGGAATGCCTTTTTGATGCAGGGTTTCACACCACCATTTTGAAGATAGACTCAAAATCACCATATCTAGCATAGTCATAGGAAGAGTTTTACAGATCTATTGAGTGTTGCCTTGTTAAGTGGAAAAGATTGATATCCAAGGGCAGTTTGATCCTATTCGTAAGATCCTTTCCTTATTTTCTCAGAATGACAGTGATTAAGTAAAAATTGTTCCAGTGTTAAATGTGTAGTAATTTAGTCTTTGCTTTTACTCACATCCCTCCATATTAAATTAATAACATAGGCACTAGCTCTAGTTTTATAAAATCGGTGTCGATTACTGGCCAATTACAACCTGATGATTGGACCTCTTTGTTTCTTCACAAATGACTTTACAAATGTCCAGGAAAAGCTACCAACTTGATTCTTACCTTTCTATATCAGTGCTGGCTTTTGTTCAGATTCTTGTTGTTATAGGGAAAAGGATTCAGTTTAACTCCTACAGTTAAAGTATGACTGAAACTTGGGCTATCCCATTTGAATCTATACCACTGATTAAGCATCCCTTGAGTAAATGGTGTGTTAACCCTCTCCAAGCTGAAATGAGATGCTTCTGCACTACATCTTAAGATTTCCCTTAGATACCAGTGCCTTGTCGTTTAAAAATATTGAGATGAAACTGCCCTGCATTATTGACATCACATAAATATATTCATAGTATCATTGAATCATTGATGTATGGACTGACAATAATACGCATTATATTCACTATATTTATCTATCATGCAGCAAGCAAATATATGCATGTATAAAACTCCTATATTTACAGGTACATAATGGTTTGCAAACTGGGTGTTGGCGGGGCAGTGGGGAGTCTTTGCCTCTGACTTTTCTGTCTCATTCAAGCCCCATGATAGAGGTGGGCTGATTTACATGCGGGTCTCTGGTTTTGCAAGACCTTTATATTATTAGAACAATTTCAGTATCTCTTTGTGGACCCGGGTACAAACATTTTAATAAAGCCATCCTTAAAGATACAGCGTTACCTGCAAGCACTTCTGGTGAATATCATGTTTTTAACTAATGAATGGAAGCCTGTGAATCTGTTTCAGTGCTTTGCCGCTTAATATTTTACTTCAAGAGCATTATGTGGTCATTACAAACTTAAGTACTTAAAATTTTTTAAAAAAGAGATAGTTAAAATTGTTTCTAAATATTAATACTCAAAAGCAGTGACACTTTATTTTAAATTAAGCAGCAGCTCTTTATAATTATGATAATTCAAGTTAGTGCTACTGGGCTTTGTTCTCTCCTAAATCCCTTATTGTAGAATCTTTGTTTCTTGTTTCCTAATCGCTTGCCTAATTGTATTTTGATAATGAGAAAAAGATCTTGGCAGAAACATTTCAATTCTAGTTTCACTTTCTGTACCAGTGCTAATTTTGATAAATATCTTGATTTAATTTCACTCCTCTACAGAATGGCCAGTGAATATCTGTAAATATGATTTATTTTACAGAGTTTCTAGAACTATAGAATTACTATCAACATTCTTATTGACGTGTCAGTTTTAGAGTCATGAGGGAAAGGGGCACTTTTCCAATTGACCACTTAAAATTTTTTTGTTAACAGGCAGAGTATTTCCCACTCAGATCTTAGGTCCATTTATTATGTGAGCTGATGTTAGGTATATATATGTAGTTTGAGGGCAGGGTGCAAATATACCTCCACGAAAAGACAATACACTTTCAAACCACATCCATTTCTAAAGAAATGGATCTGACGGTCATCAGTATAGAGCCTAGACTTGATTCCTATAAAAAAGCCCATTTTTCTTCTAAGGATAATGAGTCTGGCCCTTCTATAGGAAACCGCCTATTTAGTTTTCACTTCTATTCATGTCGCTCTATTATTTTGTGTGGTTTTGCACATGACATGGCATTGTTTGCTCAGTGAAATTGAAATGCTCACTATAGTCCTGCAACTGTTGCTTCTTTAGTTCCTAGTACTTACTTATTCATGTATGTTTGTTGGAATACTTATGTTTCCAAGTTAAAGAAATCCAACTTAAATTGCCTTAAACCAGAGAAAAGGAGGGTGGTGTTGGGGGTTGATAACTGACTCCTATAACTAGGAGTTCTGAGAATACAGCTGGCAGCAAGCACAACTGGACCCTGATGCTTGAACAAGGTTATTAGAGTATCGGTTCATTGCTCCGTGGCTCTGTTTTCTTCTGCGTTGACTTCCTACTCAGGCTCTTTCCAAGTAAAAGTAAAGAAGACAGATTCACCTGCCATAAGTTGATTGACCCCAGAGTGCATCTCTTTTTTCAGTAGTTCCAGGAAAGTGTTCTTTGCAGACTGTCATTGGCCCAGAGTGAGTAGGTGTTCTAGCTCTGAACCAGTCATAATGAGGCAGCCAGGCTTGAGTCACATGCCGACCTGCAGAGTGTGAGACGTTGTTCGCTCCCCAGGGGCCCACGGGGGCTGGGGATGAGAGACTTGGTTCCCAAAATTAAAAAAGAAAAAAAATGAATCTTGTAAAGCAGCAAATGGAGAGTAAATGCTGAATAATTAAACTGCCTCTACTTCTTGGAGTTCTCTTGGTGCTTTCCCAAGTTTACCCGTTGATTGACAGTCTATGACGAAGTCAGGATTTTGATATTCTTCCTCAGCGGTATCTTAGCTCTTAGAAATTCACAGTAGTCTTCCAGTTTAAGGCCTAGAGTATCGAAAAGTAAGTAACTCTCGTGAGTTCACATCCTTCACGTGTTGGTTCAGTCTGAAGGGTGGTCATGTTGGCTGTAGTGAAACCAGCTTTGCCATACGGCCTCTTGGAATGACATCACAGCAGTGTCATTATTATTGGGAAGTGATTTTGGAGCACTTCTCAAACTGCCAGATTTTGTAGACTCTGAAAGCACCTTTTTCCTGGGCCCATGAGCAGGGCCTTGTCCCATGATCCTACTTTAGAGGTATTCTCTTATGGTTTTAGAAAATTGATACTAGAGGTCTTAGATTTTCAAGGCACTCTTACTTACTTACAGTGTCGATTGCTCTGCACTCCCTTTTTTTTAATCGCCAAGCTGCATAGCATGTGGGATCTTAGCTCCCCAGTCAGGGATCAAACCCACATTCCCTGCCTTGGGAGTGCAGAGTATTAACCACTGGACCGCCAGGAAGTCCCTGCTCTGTCTTTGATTTAGAGGTTGCTTCATAGATTTTTTTTTTCCACCTATCTTCTAAATCCTTGAATTTTACACTCCCCTGGTATAGCCCTGACCTGTTCAACAGTCATAGTTTGAAGTGCTTTACATATATAACTCATTTAATACAGCCACCTGGTAGTGATACGATTGCAGTATTACTCTCAAGCTACAGATACGGGTACTAAGGAACAGCAAGGTTAAATAATTTTCCCAAGGTCACACAGCTAATAATAGGTGGAGTCAAGATCTAAACCCAGGCAGTGTGACTTCATAGGACTTGCTCTTAACTGTTATATAATAGCGCCTGGTTAGAAGCAGTTCATTTTATTAACAGTATGCTTACTGTGTACGGCAATAGGCATAAAGAAAGCTTTGAAGAAAGGCAGAATGGGTCGTGAAGCCAGTTGCTAGGAGTGTGTTCTTTGAGCTCAGTGTAAGCACGTGTGATTTGGGATGATAATAATAACTGCCTCTTAGGGTTGAGAGAATGAAAAGGTACATCATGTCAGGTGTCTGGTCTGTAGCAGGCACTGTCAAAAAGTATTAGTACTTCTTTTCTCATCTACTTAAGTGTATATTTAAAAAGGGAAATAATTGAAACTATACAAACATTGGGCTTCCCTTGTGACTCAGCTGGTAAAGAATCCACCTGCAATGAGGGAGACCTGGGTTCGATCCCAGGGTTGGGAAGATCTCCTGGAGAAGGGAAAGGCTACCCACTCCAGTATTCTGGCCTGGAGAAATCCATGGACTGTATAGTCCATGGGGTCGCATAGAGTCAGACACCACTGAGCAACTTTCAGTTTCACTTTCTTACAAGCATTTCTGACCTTATACCTAGGGAAGAGGTTGTGACTATGCAGAGCTTTAATTTGTTAGAAGAGACTGTTCTTTAACATAATCCTTAGCCATAAATTTCAGTAGAGTGTCCTACACAGTCAAAGGTGATCGTCCGACAGGGCTGGCCAACTTTTCCTGTAAAGGAGCCGGATAGTCGGTGTGGTAGCCTTTCGCAGGCCACCCAGTCTCTGAGACAAGCACTCAGCTTGTGGGCACAGAATCAGCCCTAAGACTGTGTCAGGACTGGGTGTGGTTGCGTTCTTTGCACCAGTTTACTGACCTCTGACCTAGGGTATTCTCTTTGGTGTCATTATGTTTTCAGCTGAGCCACATCCTTGAATTCCCTGGGCATCGCTCTCCTGGTTTGTTTCAGGTCTCAGAATGAGATCTTTTTTTTTTTTTTTCCTTTTCCTCCTAAGGGAAAAATATCATAACTGTTGGTAAATCAGAACCAGAGATTTGACAGTGTCCTATGATCATTCTGCAGTGTTTGTTCCCAAGGTGAGGTATACCACAGGCCCTTGATTTCAAAGATAAATACTGTACAAATAACCATCCTGTTGTCTTTCCCTCCCAGCCAACACAGGGATGCTTTATCAGAATCAGCAGATACCCACTCTATTGTGTGCATTTATTTCCCTGTTTCTTCTCAAAACAAGTTGCAGTTTGAATGTTATTATTATTTTTTTTAATCTATCAACCGTGAGTTATCATGTGACGGTGGTGTTTGTTGGAGGAAGCCGATACCAGCAGGTACTCATGCTCAATTTCACTGCAGCCCGCCAGCCCTGCATTGCTTGGAATCCTCCGATAACAGAAAAACAAAAACAAGCCCAGTACCGTCCAGATAGGTGAAGTTCCAAGTGTGCTCCTGTCCGCACCCCTCGTGGATCAGGCTTTTTG